CACCAGGCTCTACCAAGGACTGTTCCCTGCACCACCCTAACGACTGTCCCCTGCTCAGGGGCTTTGTCACCATTTAATTTGTGTTTGGGCCTTGCATGGCTCTGGTTCATCCCTGCACCCACCAGCAGCACTGGAGTGACATCCTGGGAACCATCCTCGGTGGATCAGAAAAATCGGGGAATAGCAGAGGAGTGACATGACCCCCCGACCTCCAGCTGCCCCACCGCCCTTCCAGCCCCGCTGGGCACATCCTGCACTCCCTGTGGAAAATTCCTGAGGGAGAAAAAGCCTGGAGACAGGATATGAGGGGAAATACTGGGGAACTGGGAATACTGGGGACCTGGGTGGAGAGGAGGGGTGTCCCCATCTCAGCTCTTCCTGGCCGACGCCGGGAAAGAGTCCCCCGGGGTGCAGCACCCCAGGACCACCACACCCACGCCCCCCCTGCCGTGTCTATGTGTCCGTGTCCCCGTCCCTGTGTGTGGCACCGCTAGATGTCACCAGGAGCTCGCGGCGCTCAGCGCCCTGGGGAGAGAAGAACCGCCCAGGGCTCTGGAGCATCCTCGGCCCTGGATCACCCGGAGGAGATAGAGAGACCAGGCACGGCCCGGGTGGGAACGCCGCCAGCCCTAAGGCTGGACCCCCGGAGGGACACGGGGCACCCCCAGAGCCAGAGCACCCTTGGGAATCAGCGCACCCTTACTCATGGCGGGGTTTGCAACACCGTCTGCCCTGGACCACCCATGGGAGCTTGGAGCATCCTGGGACTTGGAGTGGCTGGTGGGATCTGGGGCTCCCGTGGTACAGAAGATCAGGTGTAACAGCCTCTATTGGGGTTACATGTAATATTATATATAATATATTTTTAATGTATATATAATATATTTGGGTTATATATAATATCTATAAGGGCTGCTCCCCCAGCCCTTCCCTTGGGCACTCAGGTCTGCTCTCACTCACACAGAAACTCTGAGCAAAGGCACCTGAAGTCCCAGCTGAGACCCCCCACCAACATCCCATTCCTTTCTCCCCCCCACCCCCACCAGCAGGGACTTGTGCTGTGGGGCACAAACCCCAGGAGCTGGGGACCTACCACTGCCACCATGGCGTGATTCAGCAGAACTGAAACCCCACTGCAGCCCCAGAGCCTGACGGAGACCTGACACAGCAGGGCCAAAGTCTGGGCCCTGCTGCAGCCCGGGGCAGAGTCCCAGAGCCACCACCACAAGCAGAGGGAGGTGAGCTACGAGATATGGGGTATGGTGCTGCCAGAGGAGTCACTGTCACCACACAGCCTGTGCTGGGCCTTTACACTGCTTGGAAAATGGTTTACCAGAGTCATCTGCTAAAGCCATAAAAGCCACCATAAACTGAAAACCTTCAGCAATCAGGCTGTGCCATGGCTGGGATGAGCTGGCCGGGGGGTGGGCAGAGCAGAAGGAGGACTCCCCCTCACCACAGCTGAGACCCTTGGAAAATCTGCAAAAGGGATTTGGATGAGATTTGGAGATTCATTCTTTAGGATACTTGGTGAGACATAAAACTTCACCCCGATGAGAACAGCACTGTATAACCCAACACCAAACAGGTTTAGAAATGTTTATAAACATGTGTCCAGCTGAACTATCTCAACTTCCAGCAGACAGAATTAAATGGAGGTGGATCTTGTCCCATCCATGCAGCAGCGACAATGGCAGCGTTTGCTCAGGGACAACAGTGCCAGTCGGTCCAGGGATAAAGGAGCCACTTCACTACCGAGTTCCTCTTACCAGGGAGGAGCAGCCATTTGTAATGAGCTCTTTAATTAAAGGCATTGCCAGGGGCATAATGGCTTTATTAAATCTGCCTGAGCTTTCCCGAGCTGGAGGTAATGAAATCCTCCTGGCACTGCTGGGATGGGGATGTGTCAGTCAGGGACCAGATCCTGTGCTTGCTGTCCTGGCATAGACCTGCAGGTTGAGGGGATGCTTGGGACCTCTTGGGCTGCTCAGGGCTGCCCAAGGCCTCTCAGGGATGTTCAAGGCTTCTCAGGGCTGCTGAGAGGTGTTTCAGGATACTCAGATGTGCTTGGGACTGCCACAGCTTCCATCAGATCAGTGAGTGAAGTGGCTCTGGAGATGCTGGTCCAGCTCCCCAGCTATTGGCTGAGCCTGGAACCCTTTCCAGGTTTGTCCTGGGCTGTCAAGAATCCAGGGATCAATAAGAGCATCAACTGATAATTCATGAAAAAAACAGCAGTTCTTGTCCTTGCCCAACTGTGCCTCCCACCTTGGCATGGGCATCTTCCCTCTCTCCACCACAGATTATTAAATTACCATTTTGCTGATCTAACTTCTTTTGGTTGGTTTCTTTCTTCTCCTGTCTAAATTAAATTTTTATTGCTAAGAAATGCTAATTTGAAAGATGCCTCCCCGGGGGATTGCAATTCAAGAGCCCAGCAGCCTCAGAAGAGACAAGGTGCTGCCTGAAACAACCTCAGCTGCTGCTGTTCCATGTGAAACCCCAAACCTGGGTCTAATTTACCCATCTTTCACTAAATATAAGAGAAAAAATAACAGTCATGTTGGAAAGTGCAGTGGCTGCCAAGAGGGTGGCTGAGGGGTGGCTTAGGATTAAACACACATCAAAAGGGTTGATCTCTGGTTCCCTGGGATGCTGTGAGGGCTGAAAAACAGGTAATTCCCAGCTGGGCCAAAGCTTCCTCAAGGACCTGGACCCTTCCCAGGCTGCAAATCAGCTGGAAAAGACTCTGGTTCTCCTCCTGACAGCAATTAAGCCACCCTGTCCTCCTCCTTGCCAGGAACGCAACTTTGCTGCGTGGGGTGGGTGATACAATCAGCCCAGCGCAGCCCCTGCAAACACTTCATCTCCTTCAGAAGAGGCTCAGGCGCGTTTATGGCGATTTTTTAATAGCAGCTTGGATAAACAGTGGCGATAACCCGTGCCGGGCTCCCAGAGGATGATTAATGCTCCCGGAACAGTCACGCTCGCTCGCCTCAGGGCTGGGATTGTTTTCTTTTATTAAAGGAGTGGGGGGAGGAAAGGGAATAATGGACTTTGCCGTGTTTTATTGGGTTGATGGGTGCAGAGGGAACACGTTGGCCTCTTTGCTCACCCTGTATCATGTTCAGCTCTAGCTGAGTGGCAAAGATGGGGGATGGAGTGATGAAGGATGAAGGACAAAGAATGAAGGATGAGAGATAGAAGATGAGAAATTAAGGTGGAGGGAGGAGACATGAAGGAGGACAGATGAAGGATGAAGAACTAGCAGTGATTTCTGGCCATGTTTTTATTTCTTGCCCTGTGATGTTCCTGACTGTGCACATATTCTGCACTGTGGCTGAGGTCTCCCCAAGGGCTGGACTATTGGGGTCTTACATTTATTTAGGACCCTTTCAAAACATGGGAATCATTTAGGAGCCCTGAGCCCACCAGTGCCTTCAGCATGCTGCATATTCAGGGCCTTGCAGTGTCACGGCTCATCCTCGGGGCTCTCTTTGCAATGGGCACACCCCTGGGCTGCTGGCACTGGTGGCAGTCTGGGAATGAGGCTGAGGAGATTTGATGGTGAAAACCACATGTCCATGCCCTTCCCACTCACCCTGGGCCCTGCTGAGCCACCCAGCTGGGGGAAACACATGGTCCCTCTCAGGCTGCCCCGTGTAGCCAGCCCGAATCACATGAGTGCCCACACCTGCACCAGGTCCAGTCTTCCCGGGACAATAAACCCTTGTCCTAGGGCAGGTATGTGCTACAAAGAGCTTTTATGGGGTGGGGTGGAAATTGTGATGATAAGGAGCTTTCTGCTGCGTTCCACTGAGTGTGGACTTCGAGTGATAAAGCAACACTTGCTGTCATGGGGCCAGGGTGAGCTCCCCCACAGCCCACTGCCCCCTATCCCCACTCAGAGGGGACACACCAGTCTTTCAACACACCTTAAATCCAGGAAAAAGCTGGAAAGAGCCTCACAGTGTTGCCAAAACTGCTCAGCAGAGACCTTTTGCAATCAGACAGCAGGAGCAAGCATTTCTGTGTCCCTCTTACCATTACGGTCCCCAAATCCATTGCCCCAGGTGACATTGAGGGGCTCTACCAGCCTCAACACTCACTGGAACTGCTGAAAATTATTTTAGCAATCAGAGGTCTGAAATAAATGGTAAATAGCCTGATTGCTTGGGATGTTTCTTTTATTTTTTGGAAGGATGAGGAAAAAATGCTGTTTGTTTAGATGAAAAATTTAGATTGGAGGGGGTGTTTCCCCTTTCCCTCATGACAGCATCACCACAGCTGGGAAAGCAACTCAGAGAATTATACACTATGATAATTGATTGAATTCGTCAGTAAATAAAGCAGCCACCTTTAAACTCAGGGTCTGGAGAGGGAGGAAAAATTCTCAATGCAGTGGTTTGTACCAACAGGTGCAGGAGTCATCATGCCCATGAAACCACAGCCACCAGGAAAAGTGACACACAGGTCTGCATTCTGGACCAAAAAAAAAGCTCTTTTGGGGTTTAAATAAGGAAGGAATGATTTCTCTTCAAAAGGGAATCCTCTCTCTCACCTCCAGAAACTCCTTAGTTCTTTAGAGAGATGGATCAGGTAGAAGTTATGAAGCAACCTTGAAACCTTTGAGAAACTGTGGGATGGAGAAGCCAAAAATGTGGTTTATAATAAAAGGAGGGGAAAATAAGCTTGAACATCCCAAGCTTTAGGGGCCTTAGGGCTGGGATATACCCACATAAATCACCAAATATTTCCAGCCAGCACCAGGGCCATCCCCAAATTCCTGCTCCTTTGCTCCACCACACCTGCTCACCATCTCCCATCACACCACCATCACAGCCACCTTGCAGCTCCCCTAAGAAATATTTACTGTCAAAACTCCTTTGGGAATATTAGGCTGTGCCAGTGAGTGCCCC